AGCCGGCTGCATGACGCGCCCGCCGCCCGCTCCGCCGCACGTGACCGCTCCCCGCTGCCCTCCCGCGCCATAGACGCGAGGGCGAACCGCAGGGTAGAGCGCCGCCAGCGACGGGAGGAAGGAAGTAAAGGGGGAAGAGGCGAGGAAGGCAGACATGTTGGACTAGGGCGGAACTGCCGTAGCCCCCGCCCCTTCTCTCACTCACCAAGGCGGGCATGGTTGTTGCCCTTAGCCAAGATGGCGTCGCGGCACCGGGTGTTGTGGCCGCGTCCGTTATTTCTCTGTAGCTCTGTGGGCGTTTCCCCCGAATCTCTGCTTGCTCGCAGGTATATGCAGTTACTGTAATTTCTTGAGTTTCGTAGTTCTTTAAGGAAGTCCTTACTATTGCTCCCCCCCGCCGCAGGCCATTTATTTTGACTGATACATTCATCTTCCTTTACTCCTACGTGCTTTCTGTGGCTGATTACTTAGGGTATTGCTCTCAGTTTGTCCCTTGCTGCCTTTTCTGTCTGCCCATGTGTGAGACTCGCGTGGCTCCTACATCCTCAGCCTATGAGTGACCACAAACATGTATGTGATTGCTTCACGATAAAGAAGAATGAAGGAAAAGCCCAGAGGAAGCCTCGGATAGCACAGGGGCTCACTTCAGGGGCTCGTTGTGGGAGACGTGCGGTTCAGGTCTGAAGCCCAAACTCACCTCTTGTCTCAGCTGGCAAAAGGCAATCCCACACTCGTAGCATGCGGTGGGGGTGACCTGCAGTGCACGAAGAGGTTTGGAAGAGCCCTTGGCCCGGTGCACCTGCCACAAGTTCTCCACTGTTTTATCTCATAAAATTAAACACATGATACAGAATAAACAAATCGCTGATGGATTCCCTCCTGAGAGGGGCCAGCGCTACCAGGGCTGCGGTGTTGCTCAGATATCTCAGCTTGTGGTGGTCGAGGGTGCTGCGCATGTTAGAAGAGTTTTGGGCTTGATGATGTGGATGAGTGGCAAAAAATTTAAAAAAGGGCAAAAGGAAGCACACTATCTTTTCTCAGCCTGTGTTGCACCAAGCAATGGTCAGAGAGTTTGGTTGTATCACCTTTCAGCATCCTGCCATGTAGTAAGGCTAAAAAAGTTGTTTGCCAAGGCTGTATTAACAGTTCAACACTTGTGAATGATGCTATAGAACCCACTGCGCTAAGCAAAGAGCTACGTGATCCAGCCAGCAGGAAAACTATATGTTAAATGCTGCTATTTTCTTGATTTTAAACACTTTTATCTGGCACATCAAGCCAGCTCTGTATAGCTATCAGGACTTGCAATTTTTAAGCTTTTTTGGAAGTAAGGATCCACCCTGTTCTGTTTTCACAGAGCACTGCCTGGTGCTGGTGATGATGATGGTGAAGAAGAGAGTAGTATACTGTTTTTTTTGTCCTCTCCCCGCTTCGTCATGTGCACTCACACATATGGAGTGGCCTCCTTTATCTAAAATGTCACCTTATATTATTCAATTTCACAAGTGCAGAGACCACCAGAGTGTAGGACATTTGGGGAAGGAAATTTCTCTTCTGTGAAAATTACTCAGTTTTGCATGGACTAATTCGATATTAACAGGGCCAGAGAAAACCAGAGGATGATGCCAATGCATGGAGAGAGGAAGATCTGGGTTGCAGTCTTAGTCTTAAGAACAATATAAAAACGTATTTTAAGAATGTCAACTGGACATAGGGAAAATAATTCACAATGAAGATGATGAAACATGGGGCAGGTTGCCCCGAAACATTGTGGAGCCTCTGCCCATGGAGATGTTCAAAGCTCAGTTCAAAACTCAAAAGGGCCTGCTTTGAGCAGAAGGTTCGAGCATGGATGACCTCCATAGGTCTATAAATTAATTTTCTCAGGATCAGGAATCTTGCTTTCACATTCCCACCTTCTGTTAAAAAAAATACTTTTTTTTTTTCCATCTAGCTAGACTTTTTGAGTTAATTGGGATATGCAGAATCATGCTCCTCCTTCCTCCACATCCAAACTGTATTTTGGCACAAAGGGACAGATTCTAATGCAAATTCTTCAATGAAGAATAATTATCCAACCCGGAACCTGGAGGAAATATTTAACTAGCTAATGTATGCTTTCCTGCCTCAGTCAGGTTAGGTAAACACCAGTGCAAGAAGGCAGAGATGGGCTCAGAACGAGCAATACCCGTCATGTTGTGTAACTTTGTAAAGAAGCATTCATGTTTCAAAAAGTAGACTCCACGGTAGACTCCAGCTATGCATAAATATCTGCTAGAAAGAGTAAGGTAACAAGGAAAAGGAAAATGACGCTGATAGCAGTCAGATGATACATGTAATGAAAGGGTTTATACCTAATCTAGCGTTGGGATGTTGGATGAGAGAGAAAAGCAACTGGCGTATTTTCACAGTAATGCAAAGGACTAGAAATTACTGTTATAGGATATGAAACTGGATCTTCTAGAAATAAAATGATGGAATAGCAATAATAAAATCTTGGATCACAAAGCATCAACTGAAAATCATTTGCTGTTCAAGAAATTCAGAAATAAAGACTCTGCTTGATGGTGAGATACTACTGAATACTGAAGAGACGGCAGACTTGAAAGGAAAAGGTAAAAGAATAGATTTGGTTCAAGTTCACTTTGTAGAAAAATTTAAAAGAGACTGTTGCTCACAGAGCAATCATCTTAGTCTAATTTGAGTCTAATTTGGTTAGGGGTGTCTTGAGTACCTAATAGTACAAAGGTAAATTCTGTGGAGTACTTTGTCACGATGGTTGAATTTCATTTCCCAGGTACAGGTTGAAGAGCAAATTATTATTTAATAACAGTGGGACACAGTTACTCCTAGAACAGAGTTCTTCACCAAAGGGTCTCTAATCCAACAAAAATAGTGTATTTTATTAAACTAGATGTTAATAAGCAGTTAGGACACTATAGAAGAGCTAAATACAATAGCTATGAATTTATTCAGTTTAAATAAAATATAAAAAAGAAGCAGACTAGTAATAATACAAAATGCAAGGTCATATATTGAGGGATCAGCTACAAAACTCTCCTGTAAATTTTGAGATCATCTGTACGAAGTAAAGGACCTAGATATACTAGACAAGCACAGGATGGCTATGAGCCACTGACATGATAAGAACCAAGAAAAAGACAGATGCAATCAGGCAAGGTATTTCTATTCTCAAGAGAATGAGCTCATTTTCTAGGTGGATCTGCTCAGCTATGTTCAAAATCAGGTGTACTAAGATTACGGTCTTAGTAGGAATTTATTAATTTATCTAAAAATAATAAAGGAGTTGATTTTACCATTTGTGCTGTTTTTCCTGTTTTTTCATTGCTAAGGAGATGTTGTCCATTTCAGTAATGTGAGAAATAAGCTTTTCAATTGTTCTTCTTTCCTTTTTTTCTTTCCAGGCTGGTGCTTTTTTGGAGTTAAAGATCTTGTGTTGGATGAAGACGTTGGAGTGTAATCTTAGGTCAGAAATATCCCCCAAAACCATAGGCTAAGGGGAAGCTGCTTGAACTAAGGACATATAATATACAGATATTTTCAAATTAAATCTTTCTTGGTAAACTATAAGCATGGTTTTAATGTATGCCTCTAGGTGGTGCTAATGTTATTTAAGTGGTCAAAATCACAGTAAGAAACATTTCAAATAGCAGTGAAAGCATTTTGTGCACAGCTTTTGAGTACAAGGAGTCACATTTATTCAGCAGACCTCATGTTGATGATCTGCAAATAAGAAGAATTCATACACTTAATTTCTGGTAAAAGAATCACCCATAAATCTATGCTGAAATAACATTTAAAGGTCTTGTTCAAACCCACAGAAGCTAATCATTTCAGAAATGGGTCTGCAAAAAAAATCTTTAAGCAAGTGTTGAATCAAAGAGTTGCGGCATGTTGGATATTAGTTTGCTCACTACTTGGAGCATCATCTTACACATCTACTAATCTAATGACTGAGCTTATTTTTATAACGTTACAGCTTGCAATTTTTGCTTTACCTGGATGTAGCATATTGTAATTCTCATTTGGTAGGATCCGTAACACTATAGTCATCGTTCTGTTTACCAACAATCCTCTTTATGAAAGGAAACGTAAGCCTTTAGCTAAGTATTTTGGTGAGTAAACAACCCAAAACTTTCTGCTGAAAGAGTTTTTGTATGTAATTTGCAGAAAATACAAGGAGCTGGCTTTATTTTATGCTCACTGTAAAACAGTGTCTGTTCTTTGGTTTTAAATAAAAAATGATTTTTCACCCAGCCATATTCCCTTTGGACTGCAGTGCAAGATTTCTACATAAGCTAGAATGTGTTTTCTTCCTCCTGGCTTATTCATACATACTTCATGTGGCAGCCTAGACTGCTTGGCATTCTGATGCTTACTAACTTTCAGATACAGAAAAGCTGAAATTCACTTCTGGGTCATTGTTGCTGACTGATAATTTTCTTTTTAGCATTGTAACCTCCGGTTGAGGCATGGCCCAGAAGTAGGTTTTCCTGTGGTTCACCTAATATCTTTATTAAATTAGAAGGAAATATATTCAAAGCAGCAGTTTATTTATGAAATGATAGGTGGGCTGCACAGCCTTGTGAGAGAAGAGGCAGCTGGCTGGTAAAGATGGGCCTTAAACTTGCCGTGTTTAGTATCCCAGAAAGCAGTTTGTCCTCTGTACTCTGCATAGTCTGCTAGACAGTGAGGACGGATTGTGAACCTGCTCCCACCTGGGCATGCATTTTAGGTGCAGTGCTGTGCTACACCTGGTTTACGTCAAAATGGACATCAAGGAAGCTTTCCCTTCACACAGGGCTGTCCCTCGTGGGCTCTTCTGCAACTTGAAAGTACAGTGATGGCAGTGA